ATAGCCCAAATGCCCAAAAATAGATGACTGGATCAAGAAGATGTGGTACATATATACCATGGAATATTACTCAGCATTCAAAAAAGATAAACACATGCAATTTGCAGCAACATGGATGACGCTGGAAGGGATCATGCTCAGTGAAATAAGCCAAAAAGAAAAAGAAAAATACTGGATGGTCTCACTCATAGCAGGGATCTAGAAAACTTAAATAAGGGACCAGGAAAATGAATAACTATAAGAAAGTGAAAATCAAAATCAACAAAAACTATGAACCAGAGACACTTTTTGGGGGTGGGGGGCGGGAGGGGAGGGATTGGGGTCAGAATGGGGGGATTGCAATTGTATGGGGAATATAAAAATAAAATTTATTAATTAAAAAAAAAAATTTTGTACAAGTAGGTATAAAATAATCAAGAATTGTTCCTTCCACCAGAACCACCAAGAATGGGGGAAGTTCCAATAGAATCTGGAAGAACAGCAACAGGAGTGTTCATGGGCAGAAATGGGAGAGAAAAAATATGAGAAACAAGAATCTGGTATATGTGACTGCTAGTGTATGTAGATAGGACTTGTTGAGAGATAAGAATGAGGATCAGATAAGGCAGAGTCAGGTCTTGGAAACAATCAGAAACCATTTTAAAGTCTGTACGCTTTTTTCTCTAGGCAGTGAAGACCTTTTTTTTTTTTTTTTAAGATTTATTTATTTATACAAGCACTGGGTACAGTCAGAGGCCCGGGAGGGTAAGAGGATTCACCAGAGCCAGAGCGAGGAACAGAACAGGCAGACTGATGAAGTACACTGCTGAGGGGAGCAGCGGGCGGCAGGAGAGGTCTGCACGCCATGTGGGACCCTCTCCCAGCGGCCAGGGATCGAACCAGCGCTGCAGAGACTGCGGGCAGCTTCGCAACCCAGCGCTCAACCTCTGCGCCGCTGAGGAGGCCCATAGGCAGTGAAGACCTTTAAAAGGATTTTCAGTAGAACACTGAGATGTACTTTTTAGAGAGTGACCTCTGACAGAAATGCAGAGGAAAAAAATAATCATTTTTTGGAGGAATTAAATGATTAAATAGGAGGAATTAAAATGATTCATTCAGTTAATACTGACACATGATAAGGCCAAAGTAACCAGGATGTAGAGGAGAGGAGTTGGTGCAAGATATGTTAAAGAAGTTATATTGACAAGACTGAGTCAGTGTTAACATTTGGATGACCTGGAAAATGGAGTGGCAAGGGTTGATTCCCAGTCATCCATCTTGAGTTATGAAAGATGATGTTACCCATCAATGGGAATGGGGGGGAGGTTTGGGAGTAGGACAAGGAGCTCAGTGGTTAGTTATGTTTCTCTACGTATTTGTATGAGATTTTCATGTGGAAATGTTAAGTAAGTAGGCAAATATGTGGACTGGATTGAGACAAAATTTGTTGGTCATCAGCAGTTAATAAATGGAGTGTTAATATTATTCAAGTAAAAATGCCAGGGGAAGAAAAAATAAAATTAGGAACAGCAATGTGTAGAAAAATAATGTTTAAGAGGTGGATGAGTCAGTGAGAGAGCTCACCAAGATAATCCAAGAGGTGTTGCTATTCAGAATTTATTGTGGAGCTTGCTGAGGTCAGTTTCAGTAATGTAGTGAAAATGAAAGTTCCCACTCACTGGCATAATAGAATTAAAAATAAGCGGAAGCGTTCAAATGAATAAGTGCTTGAAATTTTTTGAGTGCTTGTGAAAGAGAGAGGGAGACATTAACTAAAGGGGTTCACAAGATAGATATTTTGTCAAGGTAAGAGACTCATGAGCATTATTAATGATTTGTACAAAAGCAGTGGGTAGAGCAAGAAACAAGAATATAAAGAAATGAAAATTATTCCTAATGTATCTATTCACGATGATGCAAAAGAAAAGGAGAGCTGGCTGTTGTCCTTATCATCAAGGAAATTGTGGTTGATAAAGTCATGTCATTCTCTGGCTTACTCTTCCATAACACATAGTGGGCATAAAGCAGATGATGAGACTGCCATAATTATTAGATTTTTGCTTCCCTTTCCTCTCTTTACTTCATTTAGTGCTACAATAGGCATTATTTAAAAAATGATCATCTTATTTCCAACAAATGTAACTGAGAGATTTGTGGATACTGTAGTTAGCATCAAGGAGTTTTTTTCTGTCATAAATTTTTGACTCCTAGTTAATGCCTTCTTTGATGAGTAGGAGTAAGTATCTCATTCTATCATTCTATTATTTGATCTGCAATTCCCAGTATAAGTAAGATAACACTTAAAAAAAGATAATCTTTGACATTTTTTCTAACTCAATGACAGAGAATACCCATGCATGTACCATACATTTCAAAGCTATCAAGCAGAGTGTAATTTTAAAGTGCAGAATATATGATAAAAGGGGAACACACTGATATTTTTTAAAAATTCAAACCTTATGACCAAGATTTTTATTGTGACAATGATTAGAGATAAGAGCATAATAAACCTCTTAATAAACCTCATAATTCTAAGGTTTTTCATAAAAATGCACTATACCCGAGTCTGTAAGTCAAAGAGCTTCAGAAAACCTGTAGAGGTCTCATCTACTAGACAAAGACAAAATTAAATTGATCAAAGACAATGGTTACAAACCTTGGTGGTGCAATTGATTCTAAATGTCAATTTTATGGTATTAAATGTTATAGTTCTGAACAGATAATATCCTTAAAGGATGAAGTTAGCTCTATAGATACATTATATTCAATATATGTAATAATAGATATAAAAATATATAACTATTATATGTAACAATTTTATTTTTATGATAGCTGTCATAAAATGTTCCTAATGTCCTAAATTATGAGAATATTAAAAACACTTCTTAGCTATGAAATCATGGAAATAGTAAGTAAGTGTTATTTACCATGGTATTAGTTCTATCAACAATCAAGTGTATGACATGGGCCAGACTCTGAACTGGTCAAGTCTTCTTTAGGATGAAGAAAACAATTCACGTGAAGCCTCCTCTGATGGGTCCATTCTATGAATTGATTCTTTTAGTGAAATCATTTGCTAATTTAGTATATTGAATATCATCTTAAGGTTGTTTATGGGGAATCTGAAGGTTACGGAAGCCTTCCTAAGTGAACTGAGACATAAGTGCATTCACAGTTTTGTACTTTCTCAAGGAACCTAACTAACAATCACTTCACACACCCTGCATCTCTTTCTGTTAATTGTTTTCATTTTAGGAAGAATTATAATTTTAGGCAGAACTTGGGATCATGTTTAGTACATTCTTTTAGGACATTATTTGCTTTCCATGTTTTAATGGATATTCTCATAATTAGAAAATATTTTAATTGCCTAACATGAAAGTAATTTTAAAATAATATTTCTAGGTTATATTAAGCTAATGCAACTAAATGTAGTTACTTTTATTAGTAGGAATGTAGTTGCTTTTATTAGTAAAAAAATGAAGATACAAGAATAGTGCTTTAGTAGACTAAGGATTCAAATTTTCATTTTTAAGCATTATCATTCTCTTTCACAATTGCATCCTACAAGCAAAACCCTGAACTCAGTGCTAAATATGAAACAGTAGCTAAGGAATGATTTGTGGAATTGGTCTTAAGGTCTTTACTTTGCTTTTCCATGTGGAATCTATTTACCATTTGCATATGTGGAATTTTTAATCCCTACAGCATGTTTTTGAACTTCACACCGAGCCTGGATTTGACACAGATTCAGATCAGTAAGCAAATGAAAGATTCCTTTTAAAAATACTGAATGAAAAAAAAAATTGATCATTTCAATTGAAAGATTTATCTTTGCACAAAATACTTACCTATTTGTCAAGGACACTCAGATTTTTGGCTAAGTTATTTGTGTATCAATCCATCGCAAACTTTCAAGTGAGAATATTTGTGGAAACCAGGCCCGTCTTATGCTATAACTGCTTTTTAAAATTTTGGTTTCTTAGTTATATTTGCATTCTCTATCCTTTATATGAATGTCAGTGTATGTTTAATATTTAATGACTCAAGATCACTGAAATTAAGATTCATGAAGGCAGATCTGTGTCTCTATCTATGTTGTTCATCATCCAGTGACCATACAATTTCTGGCATCTATCAGAGCATTAATAAATATGTTTTAAAATTGCACCATGGAAGAGATAAGTTGAAGTCTTGAAACCATGCTTCTGTTCATAGTACTGTCTCTGACTAAGATCAGAGTAGGCAAGCTACTTTTCTTTCATTGGGCCTCATTTTGTTCATGTTTTAAGAACATTTTCCCTTTCCTTTCTCCCTCCATATTTCCCTCCCTCCTTCTCCCTTCTCTGTCTGTCCCTCCCTCCCTCCCTGACTGCCTTCCTTCCTTCTTTATTTATTTATTTTTTGAGTTTATACTGATTTCCAATACTGTGCTGATGAAAGATCTTCTGATTTTTTTTAAAAATCCTAGGCAATTAGAGTATTTTATCTAAATGATGTTATAATCACCTTAAATAAATAACTTTCCACAGGTGATGTAATTGGTAAACTTATCATTTAGCTTACCTAACATATGGATTTAAAAATTTCAGGATATGAATTTCCTCTTAACTGCACTGAAGTACCATTAATGAATCCCTCACCATACCCGCCAAAACCCTAGCAAGTTTGCAGTAAAAATAAGTGGTGCAGTCCCTTGTTTTGTTTAAGAGAAATATCAAGTCAGAATTCAGAATGAATTATTCTTATTTTTTAATCTACAGTGTAGTTCTGCAGGTTAGGGTTGAGGATGAGGCCAGGTAGACTGGAACTTGTAGCACTATAGGTGGGATGTGAATAAATAAAATGGCATGCTACTTCCTTATTTTAGACAATATTCATTTTAAATGATAATCATGAGTCTGGATATATCTTTGTAGAAATCTGGAATAGGTTTAAGTCAAAGGGATCATATAGAATTAATAAATCATAAATGGTCTAAAAAGCATGTTTTATTGATCCTCCTCAATCTCATTTTTCAGCTCTTCAGGAATTTTATTGGGATAATCTTCCAAATTGAATTCCAAGCATTCTATCCAAATGGTAAGTGGAACTACTTATTATTTCACCATTTTTTTTTCATGGATAATTAGTACAGCCTTCCAAGCACTGAAATGAGAAATATTTATTACTGTTCTTCATTCATATTTTGTCTTTTTTAAAGAAGTTGCATCATTTTCTTTTTATTTTGAAATTATCATGTCATGCAAATATGTGGGATATAAAGTTGGGGAATATTTATCACATCCCTCTAAAATCTGAGATAAAATGTCTGGGAATTGATTCATTTGCTAAAAACAAACATAATTGGTAAACCATATGTAGGGTAGGAAGGATTATATGTAGATATATACATATAAATATTTCTTTCAGATACTATCATTTTTGAAAGTAAAATTATAAAAAAAATCTAATTTATGGGCTTCAAAAATACTTAACTGTATTTTAAAATAATATTAAACTCTGTACATCATACATTTTACCTCTTGGGAAACTAACTTAATCTTATTTTGGAGAGAATTTATTTCCTCAAGGTTTGAGATAGGAAAAGTGAAGTCATAATTCTGCCATTTGGCTGGAACTATAGACACCCCCCTTGAGACTTACTACTTAAGGTTGTGAGAGTCCTTGTGCCAGAGAGTTTGTATGTCATTTGCTGTTGTCGAATATGAAGGCGGTGTCTAAAATACTGGTAAATCTACATAATATCTCATGACCTAAGTAAAGTACTTCAAATTGTATTTATTATATTTTCTCATTTCGTGTGATATTACCTTTACAGTAGACAAATCTTAAATCATAAATTATCATTTATGAATGACATTGACTGTAAATTTTATTCTACTTCATGTTAAGTTATTCTGTTCTTAATGAACAAAATTATCAAAATTTGTTGATTTTCTATAAATCTTATAAAGTAAAAATTCCTTAATCTGTTGAGAGGATGATTTGTTTTTTCTCTGTTAACCAGTTGACTTGCAAATGTTATTATACTTGCATAACTGAAGCTTATTCTTTTATTTCACATACTTCAGGTCAATTCCATTTTATTTGCATGGAATTTTGGGAGAATGCTACAGAGTGATCTTGGTCAATAGTCAATAATATTTTTTCACTCTTACCATCTTTTTGATTCTGTTAGGATATTATATTCACTTGGGAAATGTTACAATATGCTCTATAAAATATATTCTTTTTAATTAAAAATAACTTACTACTATTTAAAATTTATTTTGGAGGTGGTATTTGAAATTTTAAAAACAAGTTCATCCATTTTTTCTTTGAATTTTGTTAGTTCTATTTATTGAACTAATTTTCCATCAAACACTTTCTAAAGTGTTATTTATTTTACCAAGTCTTTCATTTTGTAGGCACACATTTATAACTTACAGTCGTGTGGCTTACAAAATGATTGCTAATTAAATTTGATAAACTGTAATTTCTAATATTTATGTGTTTTCTGTTTTTCATTGATTATGCCAGTAGTTTACAAATTTTATTATTTCTTTCAAAAAGTCAAAACTGGAATTACTAGCTCTTTTGCTATTTCTCTTTTCTAATTTATTCTGAACACCTTCTCTCTCGCCTACCATTTTTTAATTTATGAGATTTATTTTTATAAAAAGTATCATTAAATATATATCAAGTGGTTTGTATTATAGTTTGCATATGATCAACTTCTGAAATGTTTTGGAAGTGTTTGGAAACAATAGGTAATCCATGTCACCTACCATGTTGTGTATAGTTCCATCAATTTAACATAAGTACTCATATTTTCAAGCTTCATGTTCTGATGTCTACTGAACAGAGATGGGGCTAGTTTGTGCAAGTTCTTACAAAGTTTAAGTGATCCATTTGGATTTATCTATCCTCTAGTCATAAAGCTATCAAACATAAGCTAATGAGTTAAGTGAGTAGATGCTATTTAAGAAGATGAGTGTTTTGGGAATGTGGGAGATCAACTAGAAGAGCAAGAACATTAGAGCTAGAGATAATTAAGAATCCATTTACATCCAGCATTCCCACTTTTAGGAATCTGACCTCTGAAAATATCCTGTATTGGAAGAAAGTGTTTAATGTTCCTGTTCTTCTCCAAGGTTATTCTGTCTTCCACTTTTCCTTGATTAAGGGCATTTGCTCCACCAGACTTCCTTCTAGTGCTTTTATGATCTTCTGTGACTCTAATCTCTTAAAAAGTAAAATATGAGGATTTAACTGGTGAGCTACTGTTACTGTCCCCTCCCCTTTTCTTTTCAACAATTTTCCTATAGTTTATAAAGACCAAGACAAATTTCTGCCAGTATTTGCTGCAGCAATACACAACCATCCATCAATGTTCACACACACATTGACTCTGTGCTAGGGACTAGGCTAAAAAGTTAAAAGAAAAACAATCCTCTTTACTACAGTCAGTACCACTAACTTCCATGCTAAGTAGATATTAATTTTCTGTTTGAAGTTTCCACATTTCAGTATCTACAGTTGTCATTAATATACCTGTAATTGATAACCTGAAGACAGCCAAAGCTTTAATGAGCTTAGTCTATTACTGGTCTGTAATTCTTACCATTTCTTCTCCTGGCTGATGGTTGATAAAAATCTATGCTAAAACTTAATAGACTCTCAATATAGAATCTTCATTGAATTACTGTTTTATGCTATAGTCTTTATTCTATTGTATCCTTATCCAACATTATCAAATTCCTATTGAACACATCATTTTTTAAATCCCAAAATACTCTATATTTATCATCTTAGTTTTAGAGCCACAAAGTCTACTCCTCTGGTCTTTTATGAACTCCTAGTTTCTCAGTACCCCTCCCTCTTTTGTCCATTAACCACTCTGCCATCAGACTTCTTAAAATTTGTTGTCATCATAATAAACATACATTCAAAAATGTTGATGATTTTGTTTTTCTTAGAAGAAAACACCCAACCTTAACTTGCCATTGACTTCATAAGTTGGTACCAAGTTTTTCAGTTCTCTATTTATCATTCCTTATCTCCACTCTCCCGAATCTAATCATGTTTGATTAATATGTATTACGAAGTCACTGTATTTAGACCATTTTCTGACAATTAGTGGGTATTCAACTAGTGTTTACTGATTATTATTTTGAGAAAACTTCATAAGAAACAGGAACTAGTGATCTCCTGGATGGGTCAGACTGGAGAGATATTGTTTAGCTTGATAACTTATGGACATATTTGAAATTTTATACTGGGAGAACACTGTACTATGGCATCCATATTTGTCACTTAGCAATGACCAAATCTAAGCTATTTTTTGCTAGATGTTAAGATGAGGCTTGAAGTGTCAGGGACTTATTCACCATTATGTTTATAAGTGTTTAATACTCTGATGCTATTTTGAAATCTGTGGATGCTAAAGTAAATAATAGTTTGTGTCTTAAGTAGGAATTTATATGTGATCAGCATTATTGTATGATACAAGTAGATTATTCAGATTGATTTAAATGGTATCTCAGTGTGTGTGTGTGGCTATATATACAATATATATATATATATATATATATATATACAATCACCAAATAATCAAAGAAGTCACATCTAAAATTATTTTATTATGATTTTTCCTTTTGGTCATATTAAATTATTTATAGTACCTAATTTTTAGTGATTTTTTTAAAGCTTATAATTGGATGTTTGGTTCTAAAATCAAAGGATACAGTCCAGCTGGCTAGAAATGAGAGTTGTGAGGTGGTTGTGGGAGAAGCAAGATGGAGAGATCAAATTGCCATCGGTTTGAATGAATTTAGTTGTTTGTTCTCACAACTTGGCTCAAATAGCGATTGTGTGTCTGTCGTATCATATGAAAAGTCACAGGCTAGATTCCCCTAATATTGCTTTGTGTAGTTAAAAGTTTTATAACCAAATGTTGTCTTTATAATGTAATGATCCTTTTTAAAATTGTAACTGCTTGGTTTTAGTCACGTCTTCCCAACTGTCAAAGTATGTTAGCTTTTAATATGTGATATATATTGATAGTATTTCACAGAGAGTGTAATGACACAGTGTTTGACTAGTTATGAATTATTTTGGTTATTTTAATAATTGAGAAAACTTAGATTGAGTGTATTATGATTTCACTGATTTATTAACCATTGATGAAGAAAACATTTTTAATTACTTAGTCACTTTCAAAATTTTCTTTTCCTATATCTTGGGAAATAAAGGAAATTTTCAATTTTCTATTTATATCAGTGAAGTAAGATGAATTTTGATTTACAAGTATGTTTGTATTTTATACATTTATATTGATTTAATACTTTTATAAGAGTCGTAAGTCCCAAGCATTTATATTTAAGAAAACTTCAAAAATAATTTAAACATAAAAATAATAATCTAAGTCTATTCTAAAGGTTAGAACATACTTCCTCTTTCTTAAAGGGACTTCTGTTCAAGGTTGATAATCACAGTATCAGAGCTAATAGCTTAAAATATCCCTAGTTTTTCAAATGTTGAGAGGGTACCTAATGCAAAAGGTGTGTTCTGCATATAAAATGATCAAATCATAGTTTTATGTATCTGGTGGTTTTCTTTGAGCATCTAACTTAATGTCCATATCACATACATAAAAGCTCAGAAAGTTCAAGTGAATTATCAGTTATATGGAGCTAGTCAATGATAGATGTACCATGTACTCTAGTGGTAAACTTATACAGACAAGCATGATAAGTTCTTTCACAATAATTTCAAATTAATAATAGCAAGAGAACTTCCAAATCAGACTAGGTATAGAAAGAGTTAATAAAACCAACTCAATATTAAAAGTAATAAATTTTATGATGTAGGCTTTCTTGAATTTTTAAAAAAATTGAATTCTGAAATAGTCTCCAATTAAAATACTTTCTGTAGATAGGGAACAAATGGCAAAATTTAACATTTATTCCTTCTGTTGTAATATGTAATGAGTTGAATATTAAATGTCTGAAATATAGTTATTTTTATGTTATTTAAGGAAAGTAAGCAATTTTCATTAAATTAGTTTTTTGAAAGAAGTAATGATTTTATCATACTGT